TCTGCTTCTTCATTCAGACCTACGCAGCACCCTTGGGGATGGAGACTGAGATTGCTGGAGTATAGGGGAGATAACTTATCACTTCGGTATATTCAGTCAAAAGTGTACTGCAATAGAATGAAAAAAGCTACAATGAAAGGCCAGAACTGAGCATACATTAAGCATTTTTTATGGCTAAGGAGCTGTCAAATATTGACTCACTTTACTTAGGTGATAAAAAGTGTTAGGTTTTATCTTACATTTTTAGGCTACACAGAAAAAAACTTGTTTATAGGATCACCATACTGTGATAAGATGCCTAAAAATTCTATTGCCCAACATGATTCCCACCTGTTTCACTTATTTCTACTCCTACAAAAAATAAAAAAGAATTAGAGACACTCACGAATAAATCTCAGAAAAGAGTTGAGCCCTACCTTCTGCTGGGCCATGTTCCACACCACACCAGGGTTCACTACCTAGTGGATTATCACTAACTTGTAATGATGTGAAGACACTTTTAGATTGGTCATCAAACAAAAATCAAATACACACTTGGAAGTTATATATTAGAGTTTGTTCACTTTATGGATTTGATTTCCTAGCTAAATGACCAAAGTCAGGTTGTTGGGTTGCAATGTAAACAGGAATTAAAAGGTCCTGGCCTTGGCAATAAGGATGGCCTCTAAGAGAAGGAAATCCAAGCGACAAACATGGTCATGAAGGCAGCAACTATATCACCTAGTAACTCCTGGTAAAACTCACATAAAAAAGGAGTAAATAATATTTAAAACTCCCAGTATATTAAGAGCAGGATTCCAATCTTGAAGTAAAAGTAGACGTCCCCAACACAAGGGACAGAATCACCATCTTAAGATGTCCTACGAGATGCCTGAATGCAATGTACAATACGAAGAAAAACAGGAGACAAGTACAATGATCAGGAGTAAAATACATCAGTTGTACTTTGAATTAAGGATTTAGGCAGCTTGAGATCTGGATATTAAAGAAGAACAGCAAAGAAGAGAGATGCACAACAGAAAACACTATAATACATACAAAAGGGAGAAAGTACTTATAAAAGTCAAGAAAAACTCAAAATAATTTGGATGCATGAAATAGACTTCATGGAAGAAGAAATCAGAAATGCTCTCAAAGGAGAACTGGTATAGGAAAAGAGACTAGTAAAGCCACTACAGAATACAAAAGTATTAGGAATACTCAGATCTTTGTTTTCTGTAGAAAAAAGGACAGATTCTGTAGTGAATTTCATAACTTGTTTATTAACTCTGTACACAACAATAGAAAAGTTCTTCTGTTGAAAAGCTGTCTTTGTATACTTGAAGTGTGTACACTCCTGCTCCTTTAAATTCAACTTGGCATTAACAAAACACTGATCCACTAATGGTCTACCTGAAGAGATGTTTAAGAGGAGGTTAGATCTAAAATTGAGGTGTTGGAATTCCAAACGATTTTAATTCACATGACTGTCCTTGAAAACTTCCATTGCGCAGCACAAAGATCAGAAAAGTGAATACTATACTTTAATTATTTTAACTCCAAGGAGAGTTGCAGGCCTGGTACAGGTCCATGCTACATTACAAACATTCCAAGATGAAGAAACTAACACTTATACCAGAGTCAATACTGAAGTATTGTTTATAAGGTATTAAGAAACTCAAAAGAGGGAATGTGTTTCTCATCTTTATTCTCCACAGGCTTCTAACAGGGCAGAGATAGAACTATACCTATAGTTACTCAAAGAATGTGACTTCATTTCACTACAGCTAAATGCTATTTGCAGCTTCCCAGCTCAGAACTGGAAGAACTGCTAAAAAATTTCATATTTATTTCTAATTTTGTAAATTTTATTTTATATTAAATGATTTCTGACAGGTAAATTCAAAAAGAAAACCAACAGCAAAGCAGCTCCTCTAATCCAAAGGTTGTTTAGGTTTGTAGATTTAATAGACCTGCATTCATATTTCAATTGTAAACAAGAAGCAAATGCTGCTGCATTTTAGCAAGCACAAATAAAGTCAAATGGGTCAGCCATAAATTAGTCATGGAGAACAATATAAAACCTTAAACCCAGTGTCACTGATATGCTTGTGTGCACAGCAAGTAGCAAGGAACAAACAGAAAGTCCTGTGCTCAACCAAGCTTTGAAAACTTACTGTCAAGTGTTGCCTGTGTCCTAACACCACTGTGCCCATTCTGTAAAAAAAGAAGAAATTAATTAATAAATCATCTTAGAGGTATATTAAATGCTCAGACTGAATCACACATTGAACATGCGTCATGCAAAATTCTATATTCATACTAAATTAAACAAGGCAGAAAATTAAATTTTTACTGCCTTAAGAAAAACTACATCATAAAGTTGTCTCAAGTGCAAGGTGTCCTAACATAGAGAAACCCATACACTGCCCATAATACACCCATCAGCAGCAAACCTGCCCATGTACTGTATATAACAAATTTCAGGTTCACACCAATATGAAAGAAGGAATTGCATTAACATATAGGAAATGGTTGTGCTTTTGATCTAATGCAACTCACAATTTTAACTATCCAAGTTACACAGAGACGCCAAATTTTTTCCATTGAAAGATAAGACTTGAGAAGCACCAGTTGTTTTTTGGATAACGCTGGAGTACAGAAGTGGATAGTCTATGCTTGATCCTCACCAGTACATACGAGCTAGTGCAGAAGACAAGTGTGACTGAGCCAACACATAACAAAGGCCAGAAGTAAATAAACTTACAAACTCTCACAAGTTCCTAAAACATTCAAAAAACTCAGCTCTTTAAAAACAAACCTACATTCCATATACCAAGACAGCAGGTGTGTCTGAATCTCCCATGAGATTCTTTGTCCTATATCAGACCTCTTCTTATGCTTATCAAAATAACACATGAAACTAATTCCCCCAGTGTTCAAATACAACAGAAAAGTAATACTGGAGGGGCCAAGAAAAAATTTGGATTAATTTGCTAGGTGCCATGTAAATTTAGTAAATAAAATACATTTTTATAGGAACTGTCAAGCTACTAGCTATGGCAAAATACCATAACTAATATTTACATATAGAGACACTTCCTTAGCTTGAGAGAAGGAAACTCGAGTAGAATTTTAAATGTTACTAAAAAAAGGTCAAAACACAATTTAAGATGTCAACACCCACAAAATCAGATGCTCTTATATCCCAAATACAGTATTACCAAAAATGACTACACACAGGAAAAGCAAAAACAAGTAAGAGGGTGGGCTTGGGAACCAAAGATACCACTTGGCTTGGTTACAGCATTAATGTATCAGGGGAATACAAATCTAACACAGGTAAAAGTATTCTTAGGTCCTGTTTCTGCAATGAGCTCACCGTAACTGCAACAGGGGTTGGTTCAGACGGAGCCATGGAGCTTTGGTACGCTATCCTGCTATGCACAGAAGTCTGGTCATAGGAGGAAGCTGTTACTGGGCTAGTGCTCTGTGATGAGCAAGTCAGACTGGAAGAGCTGATGGCAGAGGTTGTGTAGGTGGAGTCCTGTGCTGTATTGGATATTGGCAAAGAGGTATTCAAAGGATCACTGGAAAAAAAAAATTATTTACCATCTTGGTAAGTATTTCAAATACCTTCATGAAAATATCAGCTTCTATATAGCTATCTAGAACTACCTTAAGCATACATAAAAATCTACACTATTTATATTAGAAAATCTAAGAACGCAAAAAAAAAAAAAAAATTGTAATATTGCTTTGGTTGTCACTAATCACTGCTTCAAAACATCAGTTGCACTAAGCACCATTCATCTTCCTCGATCCAGCCCAAACAAGGCAAGCACTTTTCCGTCATGTTATTTCCACCTTTTCCAAGGATAAATTAATGATAATAATCTTACTTTTTTAAACAAGCAGAATTTATAAAGTCTAGTATATAATGAATAACAACAATAGAATTCTTTTTACAATAGAATTCTAATGTTACAGAATTAATTATGCAAAGAGCTAAAAAATACTTTAAAACATGGAGGAATATTGTATTGCCCACTTAGTTTAAATATCATACATAAAACTAGGAGTTATGTGGAAGTTCATTTTTATTAATATTTCTGAATTAATTTCAGGAAGCTTTTTATTGATGCCAATTTTTCAATGAGTAAAGAATTAAAACTGGTTTACTGGAACACTGGCACTCAACATTGGCTGTTGTAGCATTTCAGTGAGAGCTTCTGCATACAAAAAGCCTAGCCTCTTTTCTCATTTTCTCATCCTGTAGGAGCATCAGATCTGTAACCTGGCACCGGTCTACTAACTAATACAGTAATACTTTGCACTAATATAGTACAAAGATCAACTCTGCTGGATCAGATGGAGAACAGCATGAGTAGTGAGGAACAAGCCCCCAAAATACTTGAAAATCAGGGCAATTTAACATGAGAAAAATTCTATAAAGGATAGATTATTTAAAGGTTATTTATGTTCATGTCATCTCCAGCCTCACATATACCCACCCAGGGAAATTTTGATTATCATTTGAGTAGAAATTTATCATTTAAGATACAGTCCACAGAAAACAAGTTATCATATTTTCTCCTTTCAGTACATTGTAACCCTGTAATGATGTTTTTGGCACAAACTTGACCCCCTACAAGAACACCTGAGAATGCAGAAGGGCAACTCACACATACTTTACAGATTTTGAATATAAGCTATTGTTGGTCATCTGGTTGGTATTCTCACTGCTTGAAGTTGATCCAAACTCTGGGAGTGTAGGCTCTGATCCAAACTCAAGAGCTCCAAACTGAACATTTAACCCTGTTATGTCTGCTGATCCAGGCATCTCCACAGCAGAAGAAGGAATCTTAAAGGGAAAAAAAAGAAGCAACTTGAAATTAATCCACTTATTCTGCTCTAATCTGGAGCTGAAGCAGTAAAACATACTATTCCACAATAACAAAGTATCATCTTTGTACATCCCTTCCACCTCCACCAACATTCATACTGTGGCTATTAAGTCAATCTAAAAATCACTCAGCAACAGCCATCTTCCATACAGAGCAACCAGCTATGTGCTTGCAAAAGATATCATCACAGTATTTTGGACCTAATAACTATCCTGCTTACTTCATGGATAAAAATATACCAAGATTTTTGCTCTCCTTCTCCCTAGCAATTTATATAAAACACATACCAAATCAAATCATAGAATCATTAAGGTTGGACAAAAACATTAAGATCAAGTCCAACTATTAAAGCCAGTACTACCAAACCATGTCTCTAAGCAACAGGTCTTCACATCTTTTAAACAATTCCTGAAACTTACCTGGGTAGCCTGCTCCAGTGATTGACAACCCCCTCAGAGATGACATTTTTCCTAATATCCAATCTAAACCTTCCCTAGTGCAACTTGAGGCTGTTTCCTCTTGTCTTGTCACTTGTTACCTGGGAGAAGAAACCAATCTCCATCTGGCTACACCCTCATTTCTATAGAGTGATGAAGTTTACCCTGAGCCTCCTTTTCTCCAGGCTGAGCCCCCGTAGCTCTCTCAGCTGCTCCTCAGACCTGTGCTCCAGTTCTTCCCCAGCTCTATGCCCTTCTCTGGACAAGCTCCAGCCCCACAACATCTTCCTTGTATGAGGGACCCAGAACTAGACACAGGATTTGAGGTGCAGCCTCACCAGTGCTCAGTACAAAGGGACAAGTCACTGCCCTGGTCCTGCTGGCTATGCCACTGCTGACACAAGATTTTGTAATTTATAAATTTACTAATGACAAGCTATCACTCAATTACCCACCTTGGATGCTGGAGTTATCCTCCTTTTTGGTGGTTTTATCTGTTTCTGATTGGTTTGATGAACAGTCACTGCCTGGTTATCCATAGAGATAGTAGGGAGCTGTAATATTTTGTTAACAGCTGTAGAGGTGTCTACAGGTGATGGCTCTTGGAGTTTTACCTGGGAGGAGGATGACTCCAGCCCAGGAGGAGGAACAGGAACCACCTGCATTTGTTGCTGTTGCTGTGTCAGCTGGCTCAGAACTGGAGATGGCTCAGGCTGGGATTTAAAGTCTGATCAGTGTTGGAAAAAAGAAATATCAAAATTAAAGCATTGAACTCTGCTCTTCACAGTTCTACTCTCATGTAAGAATCCAGATGATGCTTAATAGTTATTATTCTATAGTATTTTCAAGTCTTTTCAGACATCACAGGGGTTTCACATGGATCACTACCACTCTAACACTCATAAGGACAACAGTTGATACATCTCCTACTTTAAATGAACTGTGGCCAAGCATTATTTAGTTTTTTCCAAAAATGTGACAACAAACCTATCTACACAGTTGCAATATTATCACACACAAGTCCTCAAAAACAGTTACAGATTATTCTAATCAAACACTTCAAGTTTCATTATAATTAACTGTGCTCATATAATGTGATTACTTCCAAGGAGTAAAGAGTTGTTGCAATTTAGAGGTATTATGAGTTAGGGTTCCTTTCCCCTGCAAAGGAGAAGATTTAAAAAAACAATAGGAAATCTTCTACCATCTCATAATACCTGAGAATCAAAGAGATGTTGCACATAAACAGGTTTTTACCCAGTTTTCCCTTTCACAATTTTTGGATGCTGAAAGTCATGTGGTGACCTAAAGCACTGGTCAACCACCACAGATACCTCCAGCATTTCCAGTGTGAAGGGGTTTTTATTCAGTTGGTGAAGTCCACTAGAAAGCATTAAAATGTACGTTTGGTTTTTTTTCCATGTCTGAATGTCAGTTGTCATAATTTTTTTTTTAGAATGTCAAAGATAGTAATTGCTACCAAAGGCTGTTTATCTACACATAAATATATACACACATGAGAGACACAAGAGCTATCTTCACAGTGAGGATACTGCTAGGAACAACACTACAGAAAGTAAGTTTCTGTCATTCTCATTGTTGCTACTAATTTTACTCAATTACATGAAAAATTAATACAATTATAAATATACAAAACAAGTAACCCAAATCCTTCACAGAACACTACAGAAAGAACACTGAGGTGTGATACACATTATGAAGAAATTACAAAGTACTCATTCAAAATTCATGGAATGATTAGAAGAGAGAATTTGAGGAAAAAATAAAAGTACACCACTTCACACTCAGCTGAAAACAGCATAGTTACAATGAAAATAGGTATTTTCCAGGATCTGTTGAAAAACAGTCACCAATGAAGTACCATGTAAATATTTAAGCACACTAAATCAAAAATGTCACTACCTGGAAGGCTCAATAACTTTAAACATGTAATGACATTTAGGGATAGACTTTAAGCTTAACAAAACTTTAGTTTATGATATATTTGTGATGTCTATTACCAGCAAATAAACCTAACACTTAAAATGTTGTAAGTAACTGTATTACTAAGATTAAATTTTTTTGAAAAAGTCTTTTATTAAAGTAATTTTAAACTCTCATTGGAATTACAGAATCTTACTGGCTAATATAAAAAGAAAGAGAGAAGAACCTGTGTCAAAGCACTTACCAAACTGACTGAGGACTGAGGACTGAGTACTAGGTGGTTTTAGATCCCAGGATGACGCAGCAACTATGCTAGTGCTGGCAGAACTGCTATTTGTTTGTTGAGAGGTAAACTGACCCAATCCTGGTGATTTCAATTGGTCCAAGATTTGTGAACCAGTAGAGTTTGCCAATTTAGAAGATCTGAGCTCTCCAAAGCCAGAACAAAGAACAGCCGACTACCAAAAGACAAAGAAGAAGATGGGAAGGAGTGGAGTTCATATTTTAACTAATAATTGAACATGATCATAGGGTCAATGTCTACAGCTCCTATCTGGCAGCAGATAAAATATTTTCAGATCTAGATTACTAACAAATGACCAGTAAAAACTTCCAGTAATCACAATAATACCAACTTACTTAAACCCATGCATCTTAAAATATCATTGATTTACGAATAGTTGGACTGATTTTTAGAGAACAAATACCTCATCTCAATCTCAAAACTGACTCAGAAAAAGGCACGCTTCCACAAGAAGCAATTGAATATGTGCTTGGAAATAACACATCTGTTTTCTGGTCCAGAACTCTTAACTATAAACAAATTATTTTATCCTACATCAGCAAGCAATGAGCACATCTGCTCTCTAATCAAAAATTAATATAACTACTTCATGTAAATCCAGAAATAACCAACCAGCAAAATGAAAAAAGTTTTGGTTTGGTTTGTTTGTTTGTTTGTTTTTGGGTTTTTTGTTGTTTGTTTTTGTTTTGAGGGGGAAGGAAGCTGAAAGGGAAAGAATTATATTCTTCATTTTCATTTTTCAACAAATACCAAAACACCTCATGATATGACCAGCACTGGAAAAATTGTTTAACCTTTAATATTTATTCATTAATAACGTTTAGAAAATAAAATATTTAGAAAGCATTAGATAGTTTTACCAGACTTTGAGGAGAATAAGAGTTTACAGCACTGGAGCTGCCTGTTCCTGATGCCATCTGGGTGCTGTGCTGAGAATTTGTGAATACTAAGGCTTGGCCAAAGGTCTGCTGCTGGGGCGACTCAAATGAATTGCCTTCTGTCTCTTGGGTAGATGTCACCGGCTTTTGAAGCAGTGTCACCAAATCAATGCTATAAGACAAAAATGAAACTTGCTGGAATGAACATAGTGATTAAACTTCACTGACACTGAGGAAAGCACTAGCAATACTAAAGCTGCCATCCCAGCAACAGAATAATTACTGATTAGCAGTCTTTTCAAATGTTTTTTGTCAATCACAAAAAAGAGAGAGAAGGGAGTTTTTTGCCAGTAAGTAACAAACAAAAAAATCCCACCCCAGTTTGAGTGAATGAACTAAAACATTTTCTAACATAAAGAACAGAACAAAAAACACATGAATATGCTACCTCTTAAGAAAGAAATAAATATAAATTATACATCATGCCTCATGCAAATCACATCCGTATTACATGGAAAATTTTACTGCAGTACAGCAGAATCTGGACATTTAGAACCATTAGCCTATCTAGTTTTCATATCTCGCTATCCAATTACCAAAGCCTTCATCACTATACTTTAACGTGCTCTCCAGGAACATGAAGCTAATGGAAGAAACTGATTCCACAATATCACCAGTGAGGCATTTGAAGACAAAGGCATGCAAAGGAAGGCAGCAACTGATCTATTTTTAGTTCTTGATCTTAATCCTCTATCATCAGTAAAGGCTTGTAACTCTGATGTTCACCAGGGAATTCACCTTTTTGCCAATGCATGCTTTCATTTAACACATCTGTCAAAGCACTACATTCTGAACACTTCCTGCACCTACAAAGACAGGCTTTCCATTTTCTGGACACTAAAGCCAGAGCTTCCTTTTCAACAGCAAAATTTTTTTTTGTCCCAGCTACTTTTCTTCCTGCCTGTAAGCAGTCCTGATGCAGAAGATGTGTTATGCTCACACATTTGATAAGTTTGTCTCCACTTTCACAGTCAAAAATACATAACTCAGGAACTCACAGAAACAACAATTTGCAACCAAGGCTTTTTCAGTTTTTAGAGGAGTTTGACCAATCTCTGACAGTTTTTATTCAATATTTCATATGTGCAAACTAACATTACTTAATCAAGGAGAAAGTTTTTAAAGTATAGGGAAAACATGGAAGAAGAGCTTACCTTTGCCCAGGAGTCACATGATTTTCAGCTGGAACAGAAGATGCAGTGAAGACTTTTGTTTCAGAAAGCTGAAAAAGAGATGGGGAAAGAATTTTGTATGCTCATATTTCCCTCTTGCAGAAATTCCATTTTGGTCATGCACTTTCAAGATAAAAGTAAAGTCAAACTACCATTACAAACAGCTACTCTGAAGCTCTGCTTAAAAAGACAAAAAACATGTAATCAAGCTCCAATAAAATCTTCTTCACAGAATCAAGTGCCTATTTAATTAGAGGGCTGAGTTAGGAAATTTGACCTACTGACAATACACACCAGCACAGAACTGTTTACCAATGTAACTGCATCAACCTGGAAAACAGTTTAACTGAAATACACCAGCAGAAAGTAATTAATGTGACAGCCATTCTACCATTAATGCACAGA